TCTATTTAACATCCGTTATCAATGCTTGAAAATAACGAAAGAATCAGGAGATGACTGATTGAAACATGCAGGAGTTGTGAACCGAGAGTGTGAGAGGTTCAAGTTGTCTTCCATGACTGAAGACCAGTTTAAATGCCTAGTATTTGTTTGTAGCCTGCGTTCACCCGAAGATGCTAACATCGAACAAGAACCCTAAGCAAACTCGAACACTGCCCTAACATGACTGTAACGGAAAGAGAACGATGAAAATCCCTCCACAGCTTTTTTGTTGGACAGTACTGTCATTTATTTGTTTCTTCTCCATGTCGTATATTTTAACCTTTGCTCAGATCTCGTCTAACCACACCTTTTGTTCTTCAGTCTTCCTCGTCTGAGCTTTTATTACGTGATTTTGATTAAAGACTTATCTTTTGTTACCTAATTTTCTACTGCATGTTGCCACACTATTGACAGTAAGGTCGTGTTTGAATAAGGTCAAAGTCACGGCGTGATTCAGTGTGTGACCGTTAACCTTTTGACTGTCTGCTTGGGAGGATTGCTGGAATCCCTGCAGATAGATATTTGATCCCATTTTGTTGGGAATATTTTTATTGATTCTCAGGTATCGAACCCTTTGGTATTAACTGTTTCTTTTATTGTTTAGCGCGCTACTTTGCGTTAGAGAAACTTTTGACTGTATAGCACAGGCTGTACCGTTTGAGGTATTTTGTATTTTTGATATAATTTGTTCTATTTCCTAAATTAGAACCGTTTAAATTGAGCACAGAGTTTGTGTTTTGATATAATTTAATACGAGTGTCTCAAAAACGCTTAGTGGGCTATACAGAAGAGCTTAGTCTGGCCTATTCGAATACATTTTGGTTCGTCAGTCATGCGTTCAAACCGATTACTGGCAGTTTGGTCGTTACAATGACCCTGCAGGAAGTAACTACCGAATGCCAAAGGTTGGTGAATTTGAAGCATGACACCTCGATGGTAGAGAACGGTAACCGTTTCCCTAACGTCAATGCAGTCGAGAGAAAAATCTCACAAGGTTCCAGCATGCATAATTGTCGTAATGACAGCGACAAACCATCATCTCCATGCTGGTCATGTGGAGGTTGGCACTATAAGAGGTTCTGCCCGTATAGAGAACATTGTTGCAGTAAATATCATCGGAAGGGCCATATAGAAACCATCTGCAGAAAAAGAAACCGTAAACGATATTCTGCAAAACCCTACTTCAAGAAATACAGGTCTGGCGCATTAACAAAAAGAATATTGGTATCACATAACCAAACACGAAGTTGCCACCAAAGAAAGTACGTAACCTTAGATATTAATAAACACCGTACTCGCCTTCAGCTTGATACAGCTTCTGATATTACCCTAATCAGCCCAGAAACTTGGAGGAACATTGGGAGACCCATAATTCTCCCAACAACACAACTGGTACACAGTGCATCTGGGGGAAGTTAAATATTGTTGGAGAAGTGCCCTGCACTGTTTCTAAAGGTACTGTAACAACGAATGCAACAGTATACTTTACAAAGAAGCCAGCAATCGACTTATTGGGGTTAGATCTTATAGAGACACTTAAATTGGCAGACCATTCTATTAACAGCATCTGCAGACGAATCAGAACTGACAACGCCTTAGAGTGGAACCAGAAAAATGCCGTGCTACAAAGACACCATAACGTGTTTAAAGAAGGATTGGGGGAATGTACGAAGGCCAAAGCACTGTTAACCGTAAAACCTGCAGCCACTCCCGTCTGTCGACCTAAAAGACCTGTACCTTATGCTGCTCTTCCAATAGTTGAACAAGAATTACAACGACTTCAGGAAGTGTGTGTTATCGAACTTATGGACTTCTGTCATAGAAAAATATGATTTTTCGTAAGCCGATTTTAGATATTTTTTCTGATTTTCATTATTTATAATCAGTTGTTTCACCAGGAAACAAACTTTCATGATATTTGACTTGTGGTTACCATTGGATCATGGAATGCATGCAGTTAGTCAGTTACAACGTAGGACCAGGCACATATATGCATTCGATCAAGTTGCCACACCACATTAGGACAACAAGATGAACACAAAATTCACAGAATTGGTTAATTCAGAAGTGGTAATATATAAAAGAAAGATTTCATATAAGGACATAGCACAGGAAGATAGAATTAGTTCGTAGAAAGAAAGATATGAAGTGATTTTAATCTCATAGTTTAAAAGAAGACAGAGAGTGTATACATCTACGACAATGTGATCGATTCTGAGCCATGTCACGATAGTCACCCGGACTCTAACCAAGTAGTCTGCATCAACCAACTTGGCTTAGACTAGAATTTAGTGACTTCAAGCACTGATGCCATGTTTTGATTTGGCCGCCCCTAACTTTATTCCATCTATCTCAAACACTAATCAGCATTGCGCGTCATGGTAATCGAAGTCCAGACGTACCTAGCACGTGGCCTAACCATCTCAGTCTATGAAGATTCACAACTTCATTAACTGATTTACTATCATCATTCCCTAATACCTACGTTTAACCTCACTATTACTTACCCGGTGATCCCAACACATGCGAGCAATATTACTACGGCATCTGTAGTCAAATACTAGTAGCTTACGATTATTTTCTATTCTTAATGGTCACGTTTTGCAACCGTAAAGTAGAACAGAACGAATTGCCACGCAGTACACTCGTCTCTTAATTGCTAGACAGATACCTCACTTTCGCCATAGGTAACGTTAGTTCGACAAGAATCTAAAACTAAACAAGTTACTTGTTAAACTTTCACTCAAATAGGATAATGTCAATGTGTACAGAAACAACTAATAACTAGCGTTTCGTGACTTAATGTAAACCACTTCTTCAGAATCAATAAGTAATCGATTATTTACTTGTTCTGAAGAAGTGGCTTATATTCAGTCACGAAATGTTGTCAGAAATACAATTTTTATACTCATTGAGATATAACAAAAAATATATTTATTATTAACTTTTTACCCAATGTATAGTTTATTTGATACTATCAAGTCCAATCTTGGCATTGATACATAACGACTAGCGGTTAAAATTGTGTAGTGACTAATATGAATGTTAATTTGATTATCACATATATACAACAAAAAACCTAATCAATAAGTTTAACATAAGTAGACAAAAGATGCCAATTAGTTACCACCACCAGCTGGTTGTCATTTATTTACCTGTGAACAAACAACATTGTCTATGGCAGAAAGTAACAGGATTGTATTATGATTTAGGAGAAGATCAGAACATAAATGCAAGAATTTAGTCTCTTCGTATGATTTTAATGATTACTATTATTGCTATTACGTAACTATCGCCTGTTTACCGGTCATAACAATTTGCATATTTCTTTCACTCAATTACGTCATGATCTCTCATTCTTTCACTAATTTCGCTGGCCCAAAAACTTACATTTGTAAGAAGATGAAAATTAAATGTGATTATTTTTTTACTAATGAACTAAATAACTTTATACATGTTCGGTCAACAACATGCAGATTAATATCAACTACAGTAAGTATACCTTGAGCTTCAGGAGTGGCCATCCACAACTCCTCATGGTGGAATCAAAACAAGGACCTTTGATTTCGTGCGCGAACACCTAATCTCCAGACAACTGAGCCCAAAAAAATATGGAATGTATCAAACACAGCAATCCCATACCGACAATTAATATATGCACACTGGTGACTTGCTTCTTCGAAAAAAGTTGTGGCCAGTGGAGCTAAACCGTGTCGAATGTGAGGTGGTTACCAACAGAAAACAACGGAAGATGGTAGCGAAATGGATTGATTAACGTTAGATATAAACACTACAGATTTTAGGCTTAGCGGTCTAGAGGTTGGGAGATCGCAAGCAACAACGTAGGTCATAAGTTCAATTCCCGTATGAAGAATCGTAGGTGGGTCCTGCTGAAGAGTTCCATACTAAGATGAGACGGTCGTCCAGTGCATTCAGGTTTTAAATGGTTGTATAATTTAAATCGGTTCTGGAGTTTAATGTAACTCTCTGTTGATTGACCAAGTTCAGGAAAGATATTCAGTTTTTAGAAATTGCTTCAATGTCCATGACATTTTTATGTTCTGTAAAAATAAACTTTATCAAGTATCGTGAAGTTGTACAGGGATTGCTTTAAAGAACCAAGATTATCAACGATGTCACTTTTTCACAATAGAAGCGAATAGTTAGAAAAGTTTGTATCTAAAAATAACACACCTCTAGTTAGCCCATTGATTTCCGTTGCCGGCCGTAAGGTCTGAAAAGTACAGAGCTAACACATAGAAGTCAATCAAGAAAAGGTTCTGAAATTGATGTTAGGGGGTTAGTCCTTGAAATTTTCAGTCACCTAACTTAGTTTATTTTAGAGGTCCATCATGAATTAATCTTCTGCGGCGTGGACAACTAGGAAGTGACAACCAACCCCCTACCCTTAATAACATCTGACCAATAAGCTAAAATGGGGTGGAAACCTGGAGAACTACAAAAGCCATCATCCACAAGGTACAGGTGTTTATTAACAGTTGTCTACGCAAAATACTTGGGATCCGTTGGCTGGACACTATCAGCAACAACCTACTGTGGGAGAGAACAAATCAGATCCCAGTGGAGGAAGAAATCAGAAAGAAGCGGATGGGAAGTGGATAGGACACATATTAAGGAAAGCACCGAACTGCATCACAAGGCAAACCCTCATATAGAATCCTCAAGGCCAAATAAGAAGAGGAAGAGCAAAGAACACATTACGCCAGGAAATGGAGATAGACATGAGAAAAATGAACAAGAATTGGATGGAACTAGAAAAGAAGGCCCAGGACAGAGTGGGATCGAGAATGCTGGTCGGTGACCTATGCTCCATTAGGAGTAACAGCCGTAGGTAAGTAAGTAATAAGCTAAAAGGAATTGTACATTTATGCATAGTGTATCATATGAATTAAAGATTCAAGTGAATATGTTATATTCAAAAGAATTAAAGATTAATTTACCAGAATACGTTTTTTCACATCATCCATTCCATAATGATCTTCATCTAAAATTTTCTTTGCTTGTCCAATATCTAAATGTTCTTCACTTGTTACACCCCAGGGTAATGCAGTTAACCAATCTAAATAATTACGTGTTACACTGAAGAAAGTATAATGTGTATTCCCCCCAACCAGCGAAAGAAAAATAAAGGGAAAATAATTAAAGTAAGGATAACACATAATACATTTATTATATTAGTGGAGTTTTGCTTACTGAGCCGAGAAACTTTCATTGTTCTTCTGAACAACATCATCGAGACAGACTTAATAGCTTGTGTTGTCCACCTAGATCTCGATGGATTATTATTGAACCATAACCTGTTATTATCTGCATTTGATTCTTAGGAGATATAATCAAAATAGAGATGCAGATAATAAAAGGGTTAAAGGTCAACAATGATCAATCGAGATCGAGGGCGATAGAATAAGCTTTCCACGTCTTAACAAGACTTCTTGATCGAGTTAGCTAAGTCGGGGACAACGGACCAGAATAGCCTATCGAGTCTCTGAATTCTTGATCCTTCGTTCCGTTCCGAGTAAGACGAATCAGTAGTAGTATTCAAGTTTGACAAACCTAAACTACTCAGAGAAATTCGAATAACCCACTTCTAACTGAAATTTGTGCTGATAATATTGTTCAATATAATAATGAAAGTTTTAAGATTAGGCCATTCTAGTTACGAGAACAAAACTCTACCAAAATCATTCATTTAAGATATAAATCTTTGCAACTAGATCAAATTCATTATATTTTGTAGATTTTCATTAACTACTCATAAACCATATTCATCGACTGAACACAAGATGGGATATCATTACATAATCTAAAAATGATGACTGTGAATAGTTAACATGAGAAATGGTTTATGATTGTTAAATTGGAATCAATGATCGATTTTATGATTTTGATCGATATTTCGACTCTCGTTTTTCTTACATGAAGACATCTTGTTCGAGAAGAATTGTGTAGATAAGGACTGATCTTTTTCCTGTATTCAGAGGAAGCAAGCAAATGCCTGTTAAGTTATGAATACAATTCCAGTTTAACAATATTATGTCTAAACAAAGTGATTATGGGAAACATCACTCCCACCTCAACTCCAACACCGATCTTGATCATGATTATGAAATGAAAAAGATTTCAGTTATAAACAAAACAATATACATAAAAAAGGGTGCATAAGGACATATGATCAATTTCTGAGATAATAGTGATTCAACGAAAATCCATAATTCCCTTATTTTACTACCGTCAAATGGATACACATATGTACTTGCTAAAGGATATAATATTGAAAGAGTAGACAAAAGCATTTTGGCATTTCTCAGTCAGTCAGCTGCAACGTAGGACCAGGCACATATATGTATCGGATCAAGTTGCCATACCGCATAAGCACAATGAGATCAACACCGGATTCATAGAAGTAGTTAATTCAATGATAGTAATATAGAAAAGGAAAGATTACATATAAGGGGATAGTACAGAAAGAAAGAATTAGTTCGTAGAAAGAAAGATATGAAGAGATTTTAATCTCATAGTTACAGAGTGTATACACCTACGCTATTGTGATCGATTCTGAGCCATGTCACTAAGAGTCCCCAACCATTGGTTACGATAGTCACGCGGACCCCAACCAAGTAGTCTGCATCTACCAACAGGGTTCAGACCAGATGTTAGTGACTTTAAGCACTGATACCACGTTTCTCAAAGTATACGCAAATAAAATTTGTTAAATTCATTGATCAAACAGTATTTGAGGGGGTTTTGTGGAGATTGTAGTAATTTCAATAGTTGAAATCATTAATCAATTGAAGCTAGACCACAATGGAAAACCTAGAAGCACTGAAAAACCGTTTCGTCCTATTGTGAGACTCCTAAGCAGTGCTCATCTACAATATAATATTTGATCAATCGAGGTATCACGTCGTTTCAAGTATTGAATAAAACTTCATGCTACATTATTAAAACGAGTTTATTACTTTAAAATTACTCAAGGTAAATTATTTTCGGAAAAGATAAATTGTAATCGACATTGGAATTCAGGATGTAGATATGAGTCGTATTTAGAAGTTGTTAGCTTAATGTACTCATATCTCAGTATTAATGTACACATTGAGACTCGAACTCAGTACATTTCATTTCAAACATAGAGCGCATAATTCACTAAATGACTGAGTTTAGATAACTAAACACTTAGGAATAATGATATTCAAGCCAAAACTTAAGCATATTTTACAAAGTAACTGTTCAAAAACAAAGAATATTCAAAAGAACAACTGTTTTTAATGATTTCTCTATCAATGGGGTTATAGTTATAAGTCCATAGTTAATGCATTACAAGCGCCAAAAATGAGGGATACTTATAAAGTAAACAATGTTGTATTAAAAATCATTAAATTTTGTATCTATTAAGGCATAAATACTTTAAAAGTATTTATAAGTAACTGATTATTGAATAGTGACCTATGTGAAATCTTTCTTTAATGCTAAACGAATTCTATCGATCAAATTGTAGTGTGGCCATTAACTAATCCAAGTGATTTGATATCACATGCACTATGTTAAGATGTAAGGTGGTAGTTGTCAAGAAAAACTGAACCTATGTTTCGTGCTATATGACATGAGATCGAGTCCGTCAGTCCCTTCATTTTGTTAACGAGTGTCAAATAGTACTAAATCTAGATTAAGGGTCTTATAATGACTACCTCCAATCACCGAATTCAGTATAAAACAAAATCCACAGTAGGAGAAATTTAATAACGTCGTGTTGAATATACCATGTGATAAGAGAGGTGTTATTAAAGTAATTATAACAAGAAATTCATGTGAATTGGGCAAGATGAATGTATAAATTGTGAATGGAACAGGCCAGATATAAAAACATAAAGAGAATTATAGTATAAGGGTTTACAATATCTAGAGTTTAGGTATAAAGTGATTGAATCGGGAACTAGAGTAAACATAGAGACTAAACATATCTTTTTTGGACACATAAGTTAAGTCATTTGAAGGTAATGCGAATGACTTTTATGTTGAAAAGTTGTCACTTCATGTAGATCGTTTAAAACTTGATATAAAACCAACAAGTCTTTTTTTGATGAATGGTGATGTTGATGTAGTTCAGAAGAACGATGAAAGCTCCACGATCAAACCATCCAGCTCACAGAACAAAACTCCATCAAAATCATCCACCTGAGCTACAAATCTTCTCCACCATCTCACCAACAAGTCTTTATTTATTATAATATGATATTCATCATTTATTTGAACACATAAATACTGGTACAACAAGGCATTAAATACATATATGCGCCACACAAATCTCATATGATTTATATGAGGACTGTGATACTACTACCCAGGTGTCCAAACCGAAGCATCATCATTTACCAAGTAAGAAACAATAGGACTGTTCATAGATTTCAATATTATTTTTTCCTAATCATGTTCATCAGTATGTAAGGACAAAAATCCCATGGATACAACACCGTCTAGTTGAAGAGAATCAGTTTACTTAACCAGACGAAATTTCTCTTATATTTTGTTATTTATATTATATTGATTATCATTTGACATATATATTTTTTGTTGTTGTTAACTTACAATGGATACAATTATGAAATGTTGTTTTTTTGTTTCAGTATATAACATTGTTGAACTGATTTGAACACATTCCTTAGTTTGAATATTGTAACATAATAATAATAATAACAATTATTTACATCTAATCTTTTTTTTAAGGGGTGACCAAAACCAAAACGTGACATTAGTGCTTGAAGTCACTAACTTCTAGTCTGAGTCATGATGGTGATAGATGCAGACTACTTGGTTAATATCTAAGTGACAATCGTAACCAATGATTGGAAATTCTTTGTGACATGGCTAAGAATCGATCAAAATGGAGTCTTCCTTTAAACTAAGAGATTAAAATCACTTCATATCTTTCTTTCCACGAACTAATTCTTTCTTCCTGTACTACGTCTTTCTATTCAATGCTTCTTTTATATATTACCACCATTGAATTAATTACTTCTATGAATCCGGTGTTGTTCATATTGCTGTGCTAATGAGGTGTGGCAACTTGATCCGATGAACATATGTGCCTGGTCCTACGTTGTAGCTGGCTGACTGATCGAATATTTCTTTGTTATTGACAATTCCATGAGTTTTTTTTAATTATTGTAAGACAATAGTTGTCAGTTTAATAAATTGAGTGATTATTTGTATTATTTAATAATAAGTACTATCGGAATGCTATTTTTAATTGATCATACTGTTGTTATGTATATTTCTAAATTATTAGATTCAGAGTTCCATAGAGAATGCTGGTATGTGGCTTAGGCTCTTCCACTAGGGATCAGTCATTCAGTCAGAAACAACGTACAACTTCGTACGTACGTACATCAGTTCTAATTGCCATACCACATTAGCACACAGATACAATCGTTGATTGAAATCCCGTAGTTCTAGAAGTAGTGAAAGTATAAGCAGTGATCGAAAACTTTAGAGCTTGAAGATGTTATTCAAGGAGTATAATCCACTGAAATAAATTTGGAAAACGAAGAAAAAAAGAAAGGGACATGAAGAATTCAGAAGATTACAATTTGGAATAACACAAAGAGTGGATGCACCTGCACTATTGCAAACGATTTTGAGCCACGTCATTCAAGGTCTGTAACCATCGGTTGCTATCATCTCGCGGATCTCAACCACGTAGTCTATACCTATGAATATGATTCAGTCCACTTGTCAGTGACTTCATGGATTTATGCCATATTTTGGTCTGGCCGCCCCTAGCTTTCTTCCAACCTACTCCTACACCATAAAACATCGTTCGCTGGGGCAGTCGGTGGTTAGACATACGTAACACATGTCCCAGCCATCTCAACTGATGGCTAGTACCCGTTTTCTAACAAATGCATTACATACTCGGTGGTCCCAAGATATACGAGCAATGTTTCGAAGACACCTATGATCGTATACTAGTAACCTACGAATATCCTCTACTCTTACCGGCCATGTCTTCCACTAGAGATAACAGGTGTAAGTAAATCATTACATTAAATTGTGTGATTTCGCTTGTTCAATAATTAGAATGTATGTAACGTTTGTTATGCAACCCATATTCCAGTCAATATCATCGACTTCGCAATACCATAATACAATCGAATGTGACGATAGTTCACTTTTTCTTCATGTGAAGAAGTTTCCCTTAGAAAGCAATAGAATATATCAGGTAACCTTTTGCAGAAAGCCCATCTAGAGAGGTAGGGGAATCTAAAAACTCTGACTTGAGACTAGTGATGTACATGAGGTTCACGATCCTTGGATATGAGCCGAATCCAGTAGCTGGCTATGATGATACTACATTTCATAATGTTGCTGCAATAACTTATTCATACGACATTTAGGCGAGAAGATCAATCAGAGTTCCTTAAATCATAACCTGTTTGGTTGAGCTAAACAAACCTATATCAGTATAAGGTTAAGCAAGAGCTATTGATAGGTGCACGCTATTGGTTGAGATCTAGCTTAATTATCTGAGGGACATTCATATTTACATACGAACCTATATAAATACTTTGATTCCATTAACCAATAAAACATCCTATCTATTCTTTTATATTCTCAATTAAATAGTGGTTTAGACCATTACATAGAAAGCGTACATATCTGTATCAACATTAAACAATATCTTCTAAAGAAATAAAAAAGAAAGGAAATTAATGGTAACTATATGGGTCTATAGACTTAGTTACTATGCTGTATTTGATTTATTACATTCAAGTGTTGATATTGTTATTTGAATATAATTCATAATAAAATTACTAACTTGAATTCGGACGAATGATTATCTAAAACGCTTAATTTATTCAATTCTTCATCGATCACTTCCATAACACTAGATGGAACAGTTAAATCCTAAAGGAAATAAGAAGAAATAAACAAAAATTAACTGGTTGTAACAGAGTTTTATGTGTGTGTGTGTGTGTGTGTGTAGACTATCACTACTATATTCATCGATAGTGATAAGAGGTAATGGAAAATTTAGAAGATCTATGGATAATGATGATTGATGCAATCGAGATAAATGAGATTAGTTGCAATACATCACAGAACGGGAAAGCCAATTGCATTTCATTAACTGTTTTTTTTGAGAGCTACCAAATATTCCTTAACAGTCTCTAGGAGCTCTCAAATAAGTTGAAAATGTTTTCGTTAAATTCGCGTTGAATAGAAAATCCTCAAAAATATCTACAAAAAATAAAGGATTATCCCACGTATATCCGTCTCCGGGGGTAAGGTCTCAACAAGTACGGAGGTAACACAAAAAGGTCATGTGTAACCGGCCTCAAGCGGTTGTATCTTGAGTACTATGGTCATGCTCTCAGATCACTAAAACCAACTCTAACCCAATTTCCTTTTCAGGTACTTCTAGAAGAACCCTTCCACGGTGTAGGCAACCGAGAAGTGACAACCACCCTCGTATTTCTAACAGCACTGAAGATAGACTGAAAGAATTATAAGTCACACTTTGATTAATTATTTATTTTGTTACCACATTTAGTATGTTCCCACAACTGTCATCTCAAAACTCATATATAAACTGGATTTTCTGTGCATAGATAAACTTTAGCATAAAGCTTTTACTCATAATTGGGATCTTTTCTCTACTGTTCAGGCTCAAGTGCAAGAGTTGTTTAAGGGGATAAAGGAAGAGGCTAGGAAGTAAGCAAGCAATGTTTATGTACCAGACGTATGAAGTTTTAGTGGGAAGTTGACAGACTGGAGTTATTCTCAACTATCTGTTATGGAATTGTTCAGTGCAGTGAATGCAGTCTTAAAATGAAATCTCTAATGAAAGCTACATTCTAATATAAAGTATTCATCTACTGAATGATCGAAATCGCTGAATACGATATATTTGATAAACATTGTGAACGTTATGAATATTTAGTCAGAAAATTGTATATCGATTTGACAGAAAGACCTTAAATAAAGTTAATTTAAGCATCATTGAAATAGCAAACTGATCTAGGTTAGATAACTATTGAAAACCTGGATGTACTAGATAGCCATTTCAGCCTAGCATGGTACTCCGTAACAGTAAGCATCCACGATCTCGAAACCGCGAATTGAACCGATTAGCTTCAGTCTTGCGTTCAAACAGATAAATTTTGGCTGGTAATGGAATTCAAGAAATATTTCTCACTTCATCTACGACTCGTCAGCTGTATTTACTTGAATCTTATGTTGTTGTTCAGATTGAGATTAAATCCGATACATTTAAATTTAAATATGCAACGTGTTATCCACCGAACTATTGAGTCCGGATAACCACTAAATTGTCTAAAATGTATGATGTCTAAATGATTATTAGTAGGAATTTGAATTAGCCTGTTGAATCCCAAAAAGGACAAAACACGCATCCTGGACTCTACAAGTAGCTCAAGTTCATTTATTGTAAAATAATGGTCATATTATCGAGGCACTTCACATAGGATGCCAACAACACTAACTGGAATTCAGTATTGAATATCAAAATGTGGAATAATTTAAACTCTTATTGTGCTGTGTGCTACTTATGTAGACATAAGTAGTATATGATGTTAGTCGTGAACAGAATATCTGACAAGAAGATCGAACAGTAAAGAATGGAAACAGAATGCAATTTGTATGAACATACAAGAACAATCAAGTCTGAGTCATTTTCAGACAATTGATGGACATTTTGCAAATCAAGCATTTACTATATGATTTTATTAACAAGTTCTGTAATTGTGTGTCAAATACATTCGATTGTTCCCCACCCGTGTTCTGTTCACTACATTTGGTGTCGCTGCCGACCAGGAGGGAGGAAGACTGCTGTTCTATAGGGTTGAGGTGCCGGTTGGGGAGTCTGGTGCGGAGGTGGCGTCTAGTGGTGTTTTGGTGGGGCGGCGTTGGCTGTAGCGGGTGCGGCCGACGGAGAGGAGCGGTGGAACGTGCGGTTGCTGGGTGGACATCGGATGTAAGTGGCTCAGCAGGCCGGTGGAGCACGGGTGTTAGACATCCCAGGTGTCGGGTGGATGTCGGATGTTGGTGCCCTGGCAGGTCGACGGAGCTATGGAGGTCAGCGAGCCACAGACTCGAAATTTTGACAGAGGGCGTAGCACAGACTGCAGAAGAGAAGAATGTTGCACGGCGAGCATGAAACACCACAAGAACGACTGCTTTAAAGGGGGGACGAGTGTGGTGTGTGTTACTTATGTAGACATAAGTAGTATATGATGTTAGTCGTGAACAGAATATCTGGCAGCAGAGAGACAAGAATATCGAACAGCAAAGAATGGAAACAGAATGCAATTTGTATGAAAACGCAAGAACAATGAAATATGAGTCATTTTGAGACAACTGATGGTTAGATTTTATTAACAAGTTCTGTATTTCGTTGTCAAATACATTCGATTGTTCCCCACCCATGTTCGTGTTCACTATATTACTACTAATGATACAAAATAGAAAAAAATGTTCTACTCACTCACTCACTCACTCACTTACCTTTAAACGCATACGAAACTTTTCGACAATCGTATCTTTATCATCTTTCTCTAAACCTAATTCCTTTTTAATTACTTTCAATTGTTCTGAAAGCATATAACGTCTGTGTTGTTGTTTAACTTTCTCTTCAACTTCACGACCTATTTGTTGTTGAAGTCGACCTAATTCATATTCTTTTTTAACTAAATTTAATGATAATCGAAGACGTTTATGAATATTCATTTCTTCTAAAACTGCTTGTAATTCTTCTGTATCACCAGCACTACACATTGCGGCTCCTATTCAATTGAAAAATAAAAATCGGTAAGTAAAAAGCATACAGGTGAATTATTGGAAGGTATTGTAGAGATGGTTAGATCTGAATTGGTTAGACAACTATTCAAACCAAAGAGTCACTGGGGAGTTATTTTGCTTACGTATGGGAATCCTCAGGAGTTCACGACCACAACCCAGTCGAGAATCGAACTTAGGACCTTCAAGCTTTACGATAAAGTTTTTTGTTTTATTATTATTACTTTAACACATAGATATTGGTACAGGGAGGCACCAAATACATATGCGACACACAAATCTCAATTGATTTGTGTGAGGGCTATGATACTGCCCGGGTGCCCAAACCGAACCAGGTGGTTTTCTTAGGAAGCCACATCCCGAGCCTTCAACCTGAACGTCTGACCCACAAGGCAGTGGAGCATCGTGAGGAGATGCAGTCCCATGGTAGCCGGTGACCAAAAATTGGTTCATACACCATTTGTTCCTTCAGGACACTGGAGCCCATGTGCACCATTGGTTTGGGATCCGGTTAAAGCGCCGGAAATTCGCTTCTCGTCCTCTCATTTTCGTAAACAACACCCGTGGTGCGAGAATGCAGTGAGTAGGACTTCCCTGGCAGAGGCTATATACGTGTGGCCATATGAGAGCATTTCGAGAGGGAGAGTGGACTCTCCCCACTCTCGGCGGTACCAGGGCATTTGGGGTTTTGCATTTATAGATGCAGTCAATTAGGGATATTCTAAGCAAAATCAGTTCGTGTTATGAAATCAGTTTTCAAGTATGGATTAAAAAAAGGAAATACATTGTCTCTAGAAAGGTCGCTAGATACGAAGTCTACTCTGGCCCTCAAAAGCACGACAAATGAAGGTTACAAAAATTTATTTTACGGAACTTAGAGTGTGTAAACCTGTTTCGAATTTTTCTCAATTCGTGCTTATACACTTGTCTCGTGTCTGTCTACTTTGTTAAAAATGATTTCTAAAGATGTCATCAGTAGTCAGGATTTAAAGCTGCCTTTTTATCTCACTTGCTCTCGTTTTCAATTCGCACCAGTGTGACTTCGTACTCCTAGAAGATAATTTTGCATTTTATGAATAAACATAAGCTACTGCAATCGATTAAACCTAGTGAGTGCTTCCAAATGCATTGGTACGCTCGACAGTGTAGAGAGTCAGCTCTCCCTCTCTAAATGCTCTAACATGGCCACGTGCATACAACCGATAAAAGGGAAGTCCTACTCAATGCCTTTTCGTACCACGGGTATTGTTTACGAAATCGAGAGGATGAAAATCGAATGTCCGCCAGGGGCTTTAACCGGGTTGGTGGACATGGAGAGCCCACATAGGAGAGTTGGAAAACCCTCATTCCAAACTAATGGTGCACATGGGCTCTAGTATCCTGAAGGAACAAATAGCGTATGATCCAATCGTTGGTCAACGACTACCATGGGACTGTACCTCCTTATGATACTCCACTGCCTTGTGGATCAGACCTTTAGGTCAAACGCTCCAGGTGTGGCCCCCTAAGAAAACTAGTTGCTTCTGTTTGGGCACCCGGGTAGTAACACAACCTTCACACAAATCGAGTGATTTATGTGGCACATATTTATTTGATGCCTCCTTGTGTACCTATGTTTATGTGTTTAAATAAATAAGTGAGCAAAACAGGGTAAATTAGGGTGGTGATCGAATTGAGATATAGAAAATCTGGGAGGCATCCATTGTTGAATGTACAGCCATATTTCAGTTATGCAATATTGTCTTTGTTTGAATCAATCTTCCTAAATCATTACCAATACATCTTCAGAGTGAAAGTTTTTATAATTAAAATTATGCTTAAATTGATCGTAAACAAGTATTTATTGAATCAAGGCACCATATATCAAGGGACAGACCAATGAATATATATATATATATATATATATATATATATATATATATATATATATATATACACTTACCTAAATCGCTGAGATATACAGGATTATCAGCAACACGTTGTCCAGCTTGGAGCATCGCAAGAACATTTTCTCTGTGAAATTAGAAAAATGACAGTGAGCAAACTGACACAAAATCTATACAATTTATATATTCGAACTTGAGGTATGATTTTTAATGTAAGGGCTGACCAAATGGAAATCGGCTAAGCAAGGTGTAAACTTCCTGTATTACGACTATACTACTTATAAATAATTAGTACGGTTGAGGAGTCCTATGCAAGGACGAAACGGTCGTCCAGTATTCTCTAGTTTGTAATGGTAGTCCAACATTTCTCAGTTCGTCATCTAAAATAATTAGTGTTTATTCTTTGTTCAGCAGACGCAAAGTATTAAACCGAGGCCATAATTTGTTTAGTCAATCGGGAAACAGAAATATTTGATGGCTTACTTGTCACGTTAAAAAATAGAATATAGGATATGTATTTTAGGATACTTCAATTATAGTCGAGATCGATTCGTGATGAAAACCTAAACCTTTATTCTCAAAGTAAATCCTTAAGCTTATTTTGATATTTGTTCTATGAACTGGACGGGGATTTCTAGTCTCTTATTATTGTGAGCTTAAACTAATTATGATTAATTGTAGAACCATCTATTATTCATTTATTTCTACGTATAAATAATTCGCAGTCAGCTACAACTTAGGACCAAGCACATATGTACATCAGTCCAAGTTACCATACCTCATTAGCACAATAAGATCAACACTGATTCATAGAAGTAGTTCATTCAATGGTAGTAATATATAAAAGAATGATTACATATAAGGAGATAGTACAGGAAGAAAGAATTAGTTCCTAGAAAGAAAGATATGAAGTGATTTTAATCTCACAGTTTAAGGGCAGACAAAGAGTGCATACACCCACGACATTGTGATCAATTTTGAGTCATGTCACACAGAGTCTCCAACCATTGGTTATGTTAGGGACGCGGACCCCAACCAAGTAGTCTGCATCTACCATCATGGCTCAGACCAAAAGTTAGTGACTTCAATGACTGATACCGCCCCTAACTTTCTGTCAATCATCCCCTACACTAATCAGCATTGAACGTTGTGGTAATCGGTGCTCAGGCATACGCAACAAGCGGCCTAACCAAAAACTTTAAGGATGAAATATCAATTATATTAGAACTTACCGATACACAGGATTAAGACTAATTATATCTCGGATTGTCTTTACAATTTCAGCGCTTAAAGCCTAAATAAGTAGATGAACAAATAAAGTAAGATGGAATGTAAAATGTGACTGAAGTATGATGACTTTGACAAAAGTACAAAACACAAATGAATATATTAATTAATTCATAAAGTGTACATAGACTAACTTTGAAGTAAAGCGTTCGTCTCACACTTTGTGCTTTTACTCTTGTATTCAATTTGTCGTGTAGATTCAGCCTACGGTTACTAGACGAGCATAGGAAACCGATTCGAGAGTTCCATCAGATGATTCGTCAGTGGTGACGGAGAGAATTACAATGAACATTTCTTTTGAAAAACTAGAAGCCTATATGAAGCGCGTCAGGAGAAACCGTTTGAACAGTCTCAAATAAGAATCATGGAAGCTCTTATGCAGAAAATGTACACGTTCCCTGCTTCTGGTGAACTACAAGTAACACATACCGATTCAGTCATAAATGTCATCCATGAATTCAACTTTGATGAACTAGCAGGTTTTACTTTTGAGTAATGGTTTAAGAAATATGAAGATCTGTTCCATATTGATCACTGGAGACTGGGTGATGCTTCAAAAGTTAGAATAATTTTAAGAAACTTGGAACCACAGAACATGAACACTATAGTAACAATTAAAACCATGTCTCAAGTCTTTGGAAAACAGTCATCTCTTTTTAATATCCGTTACCAATGCTTGGAGATAACGAGAGAACCAGCAGATAGCTGGGTTAACCGAGAATGTGAGAGGTTCGAGTTGTCTTCCATGACAAGACCAGATTGAGTGTCTTGTATTTGTGTGTACCTGTATTGATCCAAGAATATGGATACCCGAACAAGAATCATAAGCAAACTCGAACATTGCCCCAGCATGACCCTACAGGAAGTAACTGCTGAATACCAAAAGTTAGTGAATTTGAAGCATGATACCTCGATGGTAGAGAACGATAACCGGTTTCTTCAGGTCAACGCAGTCGAGACAAAAGTCTTACAAGGTTTAAGCACGCAGAATTATCACAATGACAGCGGCAAGCCATCATCCCTATGCTGGCTGTGTGGAGGTTTTGTCCCTCTAAACATCGTCGTTGTACTACATTTTCAAGAAGAACTGCCACAACGTTTTCGCCGGCGAGAATTATGATTGTCGACTCATGTGTTACGTTCGTTGACAGAATCGTTGTTCCAAAAACATTGAGCCAAAACGTTCTGGAACAATTCCACAGCGGCTATTCCGGTATCAACTAAATGAAATCGTTGGCTCGAAACTACGCTTACTGACCTGCGATGGATCACAATATCGAAACTAGGCGCCACAATTGTTCATCGTGTCTACAAGCAGCCAAAAATCCACCTTTGGTCGTACCTCGGCATTTGGCAGCTGACTATATTATTGATTAAATATTACCCTAAATAGAGTGTTTTAAGTTGCAATTCCACATCTTGATTGATTAAATCAAAAGCTAGGCGTATATATTACTAATCACAAAGACGACAACATGGAAAAATTAGGAGAAAATAACAATATAATGTTAATCTTATCATTAACATTACCTTAATTTCTTGGGTATTTTCATACAGATCATGATAGAGATTAATTGTTTCACCAATTAAGACTGGTGAAGAAGCACCAAGGTCGTTATCTAATAATTTGGAAGCACTGGAACTATTGCTACTACTATTACTCTCACTAGTGTTGCTATCTGATTGATTTTCACCTTTTATAGATGTTGTATTTTCCGAAGATGGTGATGATGTTTGATTAATTGATGGTTTAGAATTTAAAGATTCTGTAAATTTGACCGCTGCACGTTTAGCGCGTCGAACTAAACTGTTACGTTTCCCGACTGCTTCATAAAATGCATATAAAGTAGAATAATGATAGATTAAACAATGAACACAAGAATTCACACCAGTCGGTTACTGGGTGAAAAATAAATAAAATGTACTTGAAAACAGCTCCTTAGTCACTTAGTCACTAGAAAGTATAAAATGGATTTCAAGTGTGGAGGGTTATGAAGATTGTTGAATTTTATATTTTTACATCGTGGGTTTATCCCAATAAGAAAATCATCGAGAACCAGGTAAAAGTGGGTAGTCATCTTATCTCAGTATGAAACTATCCACAAAGGTGAGCATCTACAACCGCCTCAGGGGTCGAAACCCATGAATTTAAGGTCTAACGGCAAGCGCTTAAACTTTTATACCACTGAGTTTTATTCCAAAGGTTTACATTTCTAAATTCAGTCAATAGGCGATAGTGAGCTACCATTGTCCGCTCTTATAGGTGATGCTTTTCTCATCCCTGATATGGTTAAGCAGTTGTGACCAATAGAGCTCGGCCATGTTAGGCGTCAAATTAACATCACCAGTAGCAGTTTCTTATTTCTCGAATTATTAGTGGGCAATGTCGCCTCCTCTAATCAAAGGACAGTATAAAACAAAGTGTATTAACATATCTGGTTCAATGCTGTAAATAGTTGTTAATATCCATGAATATATATATATATATCGATTATTTGGATAGACCACGTGTTTCTATGACAATATCTATGCAGTATAAATTTCTAATACATTGATACAATCGATAATAACTAAATCATGCTGATTGAACCGTAATCTGACCAATTTCATTAATCATTTTTTTGCTATCACACCATTTGGAAGAGTACTATCATTGGTACTTGGCTATTTAAATCAAAGTAGATGATTCGAATCAGAACAAACAATCTAGTGGTTAAACGTGGTTAAACAATAAATTTGAGCCTAGGTTCAGCTTTGTGAATTCTGCTTTATGGATGTATCATTTCTTTCCTATTAATATTATGCTACTTATTAATATTAAGTAGTTTATACAATTATTCATTGTTTTTGAGCATGTAGTGTTGAATGTCCCATCATTGCTGTGTACTATCTCTAAGTATTCACATGAATTTGTGACATTTAATTCATTAATTACTATAAGGATATTCACTTGAAATTCTCAACAGTTCTCTTCACTGAAAATTGATTTACTTGTGATAATAAAGATACTTGGAGCGAATAGTTTGGAATTGTTGAATTAACACAACGACTAGGTGTTATTTCTTCGATCATATCTTGACGTGTATAAATGCCTAAGACAATTCAAGAATTGAGGTCTGTAGAATTTATCACTAATACAATCATTTTAATTTAAAAAATATCGAGTCTTGTTACTCCAAGTCGGGGATAGGCCGCCAACCGATGTATACAAATACATTGGTTTTATGGATTACTCCGTCCTTCATTTTGAATATCCAAATGGATTTAAAAACGTTACGTTAGTTTACATAACCAATTCGTTTTATATTAATGTCGAAGAAAAGATAGTAGGGTTTGAGAACCATGTATTCTAGTATGTATTATATCAAACAGACTACTTCAACGTAGAGTATGACACAGATGTATGTTAGCCCAAGTTCTCATATCTGATTAACACAATGAGATGATAATAACAAAACAGATCGAAATAATGTAGTAGTAGTAGTAATAATAACAATAAACTTCGTGAATATGGTTTGAGCTGACAGATTGGAAAGGTTTGTATGAAGAGATTCTGAAAATCAAGATTCAGGACAAGATAAGAAGTGAATATATTTGCATCATTGTGAACAATTCTGAGTTATATAGATTATTACTGTATACTAACCTGGTAAGCTGATCTCTTCTTCCACAGTATCCTCTACAACTGGACGAATCAGTTCAATGCTAAACAAAATATACGTATATAAGAAAAGTAATGAGTTAATTTACAATAAAGGAAAGTAAAAATGAAGAGGAAATTATTACATTTAGTCAGTTATATGCGACGTAGAAACAGATACCATAGTGTTAGAAGTAATAACAATATCAGAAGGAGTAGAAAAGATTAGATACAGAAAGGAAGAAAAGGCATAAGGTTCTGGGACTTAGATTCTAAAGGAAGAAAGAGTGACATAAGAGGAAACTACACTAATACTTATAGACTTTATTTATTCATTGAGGCTAGTCAAACACACGCACACAACCGTTTTGTGAGTAGCAGTGGCTTTGCACTTCACAACTGATTGATTACTGGGTGGTGATCAATGTCATGTCTGTCAACTCCCTATTAGTGCAGATAGGATGCTATCGACCAAGTTGCAATATGGCCAACAGTCTAGGTGACTTGATATTGCGTGCACTATGTTGAGATTAGATAACATTCGATCTGCACTAAGAAGGACTTGACACACATGACATGGATTACCACCTAGTGATCAGTCGTGATTACATCCCAATCCTACAATGGTAGCGTCTCTGACTGTGAAGCTGGGTGACATAGAGTCGAATCCGTCAGGGAGCACCAGTTCCCTCACGATTACAGGTACACCTTGCTGACGAGTGCCAAGTAGTACGAAACCCGGGTCCAGGGTTTCTTGTCGACTACCTCCAACCACCATTTAATAGCTTTGCACTTGTTGGACCTTATTTTCAAAGACGAAAATCTATGGGTTACCGTGTGATTTATTTTTGGTCTATAGTATTTCTAATCACCTTCTTTTGTTATGGAAAAAACCAGTATCGCTAGAAATGCTAGTTGTTTAAGGGTAAACATTTTACTATCCCTATGTACATGTACATTCGGCAGTACGACTTTACCCTTGGATCTTAGATTTGTTACTTCTAGTTTTACCAATATAAATCAATATAAATCAACTTGGTCATCATAATATGCGAAATTGACATCTACATCAGGATACCTAGCTACCAACAACTAACGCACTGTACATAGGAGCATACTATTGTAGATATGACACTTGAAATATAATACTAGTACAAATTATAGGTGATAGAAGACTTCAAATATATGTTGCGTGTACACGAATGTAGTGAATAACACATATACAGTGTTAGAGTTAATAGAAAAGACCAGACATAAAAGACATGATTTAAGAAAATACAGATTGTTGAAATACAAACAGAAAAAGGTCACGAGGTATTTAGAAGTTCAGAATTTGAGGGAAGACAACAATGGATACATCTACGCCATTGCAAATGGTTTAGGGCTGTGTCATTCAAACTCTCAAACCACTGGTTACCATAATTAATGCAGACTTCAACCAGGTAATCCACACGTATTAACATGCCTTAGTTTCATTGTCAGTGACCTCATGGACTAATGCCATATTTGGTCTGCCCTCTCCTAACTTTCCCCGAACCAACTCCTACACCAGAAAACGTCGCCCGTCAAGGTAGGCAGTAGTTGGAGACACGTACTGGCAGCCTGTCTGAGTATATGGGCTACCTGTTCCTGCCATCTAGATATTTCAAAAAGTTATCTATTGTTCTGTCAAACTATTCGTCCTAATCTTGACGAATATTTGTATATATTTTCTTGTGTGTTTTAATAGATGCATCATTATGCTTATCAATCGTATAAATTATTCAGGTAAGTTTCTAAAAAGTGTACAACATTTCGTTGTACAAGTGACAAAAGGCCGAATCAGAGATAACGTGGCAATATGCAACGAAAAGAATGTACATTATTCAGATGTCGATTCCTGGACTGTTAACATCTAACAGGCGATCACTCCATATTTATCGTCAGGATCGATCAAGAAGTAAAAAATGAGAAACTTGTTGAAATACTCTGTGCTTAGAATTCTATATTGTACCAAAAATAGAATATTGAAGATTTACTACCACTTCAATCGGTTTGCCATCCCTACACAGTATTCTATTCCTAACCCGGAGATTCCTTAATTAGTGGGCCCAAAATACATGAGCAATGTTTCGAAGACACGTATGATTAGATACTAGCAACATACGAATATCCTCTGTTCTTAATGGCCATGTTTTACACCCCCAAAAAGTAGAACTCGTTCTTTAGTTGACAGACGGGTATCTTGCCAACACCATAACTGACAGAAATGGACAAAAACCAATCGAGCCTTCTGAACCCGTGTCAAAAATCCGCCAGACCATCAGGACTGATGAGACACCTAAGATAATTGAAGAAGTCGATGTGTTCAACTACTTAACTTCCTATCAATAAATTAAGCAACGACGCAAGTCAATCCTGAAGTAACATTTCGGATTTGAGAGGAAAGAACCACATCCCGAACATCGTTGCTTAAGGTGGTCAGAGGACTGCATTGTCAGTGCCTTCACCAAACAGAAATAAACCGTCTGTGTATTCTAAGTCAACAAGTGAATCTCCTGGTGGAAGATCAACCCCTGAAAAGTCAGACAATAAAAGTGTTATCGCTGAAAGCATACCAACTCCCACCCCCATCAAATGAATAAGCATCATAAAACAAAAGTCCTAACAGTGTAAACATTGAAAAGAAACAAAAGCGACAAGGCAAATACATTTGATACACAAAAGACTAACCGACGATGTCCAATAACTAGTAGTCGAATTTTCGAGCCTAAATCATCCCATTCAGGAATGTGTACAAATGTGCCGACTCGATGCAATTCATCCATACTATTTGCAACATCTGACTGTCTACAAGAAGTATCAAAATCAAACGGGTGAATTATAAACAAGAAATAGATGATGTTAATATAAATAGTCATTTAAAAATAGAGTGTTGATGTGTTATATCCGAACGAACAATAAATGAGTAGTAACTGCTAGGATCTACTTGTGAACTAATATTATACGAATATTCTTATTGTATAACTATTTAGTAGCTTTATTATATGTATATTCATATTCCTCTTATTATAAGCCTAAATTTGACCTATTGACGACTACCATACGACTTAATATTCTTAATTTAGTCCCAATTTATTAGTTATAGTCTCTCACACTTACAGTCACTTTTAGCTTAATCTTGTATAATTATTGGTTTTTATTTTATGATATGATGCGATCTGGTTTGTTTGTATAGAAACTATGTATGTCTGAACCATACGATTCATACAGTGAAGGCTGATGTTTGCGTTCAGAACTGGACGGGCCGGCCAGGAGAAAAGTTACTATGCGGAGGACCAATAAGGACTCAGGGTTGACTCAAAGCTTCTCGTTCTGGTTAACACACCACTGGTTTGGTACAAGGACAAGGTCATAGAATTCGGCATTCTGATTGCCGAATTTTGTCACAAGATATTCAACGAGCCAGGGAAGTCCTACTAAAGGCCTTCTCGTGGTGGGGGTGTTGTTTACGGAATTGAGAGGATGGAAAGCGAATGTCCGCCAGGGGCTTTAACCGAGTTGGTGGACATGGAGAGTCCACCTGGGGGATTTGGAAAACCCTCATTCCAAACCAATTGTGCACATGGGATCCAGTATCCTGAAGGAACAAATAGCGTATGAACCAATCGTTGGTCACTGGCTACCATGGGACTGCATCTCCTTACGATGCTCCACTACCTTGTGGGTCAGACCTTTAGGTCGAAGGCTCTGGGTGTGGCCTCCTAAGAAAACCACCTGCTTCGGTTTGAGCACCCGGTCACTATCACAGTCCTCACACAAATCAAATGAAATTTGTGTGGCGCATATGTATCTGATGCCCCCTTGTACCAGTATTTATGTATTCAAATAAATAAACAAATAAAATGCTTAATGAATTATCATCTATTTGATGTTTAGAGCTTTTTATTTGAGTATCTCTACACTTCTTAGCCTTGTATGAATGCAAATTATTAACCGGTTTTTACAGGAGTCAGCAATTTATTGTATTAAAGCAGAGATAATAACTAGCATTGGAATCCACCTTCATTCCAGTGTTCACTTTGGGACTCGAACCCTGTAGCGGAGTGACATGCAGATGTATTCAGTTAATGATTCCTAGTTTGTTTGTAAAAAAAATAGGTGGTAGAAACTATGACTTACTCTGTATTTGGTTTCTTTAAAAATATTCCCGCATATGGGGCATTCAATTTGATTTTTCGACGAATAAGACTTATCAGACGTGAATCAGTAATCTTGTAATTTTTTTGTTGGAAAAAAAAAGGACGAAAAAATCACAATGAAATTATCATGATCACAGAAGTGGTAAGATTATAATTTATGGACGAACCAATCAGATTTAAGATAACAGATCTTGGCTTTTGGCGCCAAATTCATATATCTGTTTGATTAAATAGCGTTTTGGTATATTTAGCTGGTGTCAGTTTGTGATGAAAACCCTTAAATCTAATTCCTCACCTTAACCATAAACTGTAAATCATAATTCTAATTCCTTGCATTGGTATATAACTCTCATTTAGTCCTAGTTAGTAGGTGAACATCCTCAAGGTCAGTTTAGCGTCAAAGGTCGTCCATAAATTATAGTCTCACCAAAGAAGATATTTTTACTTAGATATAGATTATGTGAATATTACAATTGATTGATCACTAGCTGGTGATCAATGTCATGTGTGTCAAGTCATTCTTAGTACACATCGAATGTTATCGACCATGTTGCAATGTGGCCACCAGTCCTATCGACTACCTTCAACCACCATCAGTCAGTTAGTCAGTAACAACATAGAACTTCGTACGTACGTACATCAGTTTGAGTTGCCATACCAAATTAGCACAGAGATCCAGTTATCGATTCAAATCCCGCAGTGGCAGAGGAAGTAAAAGTATAAGTAGTAATAGGGAACATTAGGGTTTGATGATGTTTTTCAAGGAGTATAATCTAGCGAAATGAATTTGAAAAGAAAATAAAGCACATGAAGAATTCAGAAGATTACAATTTGGGAGAACACAAACTGTGGATGCACCTGTGCCATTGCAAATGATTTTGACCCATGTCGTTCAAGGTCTTTAACCATCGGTTGTTATCATCTCGCGGATCACAACTAGGTAGTCTACACCTATTAACATCGCTTAGTCCACTTGTCAGTGACTTCATGGATTTGTGCCATGTTTTGGTCTGGCCGCCCTTAGCCTTCTTCCAACCTAAACCTACACCTACACCATAAAACATCACACATTGGGGCAGTCGGTGGTTGGGCATACGTAACACATGTTCCAGCCATCTCAACTGATTAAGTTTCACTACTTCCTCAATTGATTTGCCATTCTTACCTAATACCCATTTCCTAACAACTACATTACTTACTCGGTGGTCCCATCTAATTATGTGAATATATGTCAAGTAAAGCCTTTTCCAAATTACCTATTTAGGTCATATCAACTTAACTGTGTATAAACCTGCTGGATAAGTTGCGCATCAGGTATTATGTAATACTACTCATAACAACAAAAAAAAACTTTTTATTAAGAGATAATTCTTAAAACACGTAGTTATGAGACGTCAAGAAACAGATTGGCCATTGGAATAAAATATCCGTGTGACATAGGCAGATCAAGTAATCTATCACGATCTGGATGTAAATTTAATACCTCTTAATGCATTAAGACTCAATAGTAGTTGTGGCCAATTAGTTAATTCTAATCAGTAATACAGAGACAACTATTTGGTGTGGTATAGATATTTATGTTTTCCTTAACCATCCGTACAAAGAAATATGGTTAGAGAAGATTTTGTAGCTATTTTCTTACATATTATGTCGGTGTCAGTTATAGACAGCATGGAAGCTGGTTAAAACTTCCTCGAAGTGATCTAAAAAAAAACAAACGTCTACGACTGAGGATAAGACATATATGATTCAGTAAGGCTGAATTCTTTGAGCTTGATGACAATTTATTGAGGCTTTTTTGCCTCTATAGATAATAATCATAATATTAAATGTAAACATCCACCAGGTGGTCGGGTATGAGTAATATTCTAAGTGTGAAGACTAATGACACTACCCGGATGCTCAAGTCAAAGTAGGTGAAGCGGGGCTAGTTTGAGGGACTTAGTTGCCAATGCCTGAACGAGTTAACTAATAAGCCATCGTTTTAGACAAAATCATTGGTATTTCTCCAACAGGTGAAACGATAGCTTATTCTGTAGAGATATGCATAAGAACAATCTAGATAAATCTCATCAGCTCTAGCGGATTAGTATCTGAGGAAATCTCGGCACGGATATAGAAAGCCCGGTTGGTATTTGCCAACTTTTGTCAATTACGATGCAGACAAGATGTACGTCTGTTAACCAAAGTGTGTATATTGTGCAGGGGTCTGTTCTACTTTATAGTTGTGAAACAGTCTAGTAAAGTAGAAATGTGTGAGGTGAATATTTTTGATCATACGTGTCTTTGAAGGATTGCGCACTTTCTGTGAAACGACTGGGTGAGCCATGTTGAGGTCACACATAGAGTACTTGGCAAACTGGCGGATCGGTTGATGAGGTAGTTAGTACTCATCAACTGTGTTGGTCAGGACATGTTTTGTGTATGTCTAACCACTGCCTAGCACGAAGATCAGCGCATGCTAGCGCAGGAGTCATTGAGCCATGTTAGCAGATGCAAACTACCTGATTAGGGTCTGAGATAACCATGATCAGTGTCTAGAAAATTTAAATGAAGTAGTTCAGAATTGTTCACAATGAATTTTGAATCCCAGTGTCTTTTCACGCATACCTTTGAACTCTGCCCACTCAAATCACATTCTCAAGGTCTAATCTTTCAACACATGTACCTCAATAAATAAACACGCAGTTTTCATTTAAAATGATACCTACGGATGACTTTATGCGTATACAATACATATGTACATACATACATACCTCAATCATTTTAACAAATTTTGGGAATAACGGTGAACCAGATATTGCAATCACCGGTACAATAGGGAAATTCTCTGGAATATTTTGTGGAGACAATGCTAATGGTGGAACTGCAGGAGGAAGTGGCGTAGATGATGGATCAGATTCATGTGGATTTGGAGTAGGTAGGCCATCTGGATCAATACCACTATCATCGTCTGACGAACCTTTTCCCGATGACGTTGAAAATGCATTTTTTGGTATGAATTGGATCTATAGATTGTTTTGTAAAGTAATGAACAAAATATTTGAAAAAATACGACGACAGATAGATAGTTTCATTACTAAACAATAAACGCAAATTTACAAATCGTAAATTCCATAATTACTGAAACTTAATAAAAACAACAACTGTAAACGTATAACCTCACTATTACAATGACTATTTGAAACTCATTTACCTAATAGAGATTTATGTACTCCGCTTCGAAACATACTACCCAGTTATCTAGATCAACGTAGATTAGATTCAAACATAGGGGCCTATTTAATGGAAGTCTAGTGCTTCAACAGCTGAATTACTACCCCACAACAATGTACATAGGACATACTGTAATAATTGCCTGAAATGGATAACTTTCTGAGAAAGAAACTAAATTTAATATGTATAGATGTGTTAAGTAGTGTTTAGATAAGTTTGTTGGCTTTTGTCACTATTTGTTGTTCTTAAAATCCATATATCATGACTATGAAATTGATCACAGACACAAGCGAAATTAAGCAGGGTCATTTATCGAACTTAATATCCTCGGAAGTAATTTTTTTAACTTTGTGATCTCTTAATATACATAATCAGTCATCAGGATATAGTCTACCAGACGTGGTTAGACCCCATTTTGTCACTGCAGTGTGCTTAGATTAGACCACAAAAGGTAGTTTAGCTAAACATGCGAGGAAGTTATATGTTAACAGATTATCTAAGTGATGCCCAGGGTAGTGTTTCAAAAATAAACTACGCTTAAAAAGATTAATAACTGAAATTAAGTCCTTGCTAATTGTGATTATCCATAAGCTTAATTGTAGAAATTGAATAAAGCATAAGAAGTTTAGAAGAGTGAAATAAACCTCCACAATTTATGTAAATTAAGAGCGCTCTGTTATATATTTAAATCAAGTGAGCTGACTACGTGATAACCAAGAACATTTTATGTAATACTGTATTGAACGAAGGGTTGGTGTGGAAAACCAAGTTATTGTTTAGAGGAAAATTATATGATGCCTTCGTAAAACATGTAAATCATACATTACATACATTATTTGTACATCTTTCTTCAGCTATCCTTTACGTACTTCATGGTTCCTTGAATTTTGTTGTTATTCCGACTGCCCTCCGTTTCCCATCATCTTCTCTTCTCTTCAATCTTATGCTGGCCGGCATTCTACCTCCGACTGCTGCTAGATACTACTAATATCTGTCAACATAAGTAGCGTACACCACAACAGTAAAGAATTGTGAGTTGTTCTCAACTTTAATTTACTATGAGTTAACGGGAAGACAATCTAATAATGTAGGTCCTAATGATCTGTACACTGGTGCATCTATGTGTATTCTGAGATGGTAAGATGTGAACGTAAGTAAAGTAACTATTATACAGCTCTTCCTACTTTGGGTTGTGATCATTACTCTCCGGATATTGTTATTAACAGGTAAATCTATAACAAAACAGAGGATTTAAATGCTGTACAAAAGTGATACGGTAAGCGATCACAGCCGGATTATAAAAATCTTCATTAGATTAGTAAAACTACATTTTTTTGATAATACGAATAGTATTACTACAAAGTATGAAGTTGTGTGCGGTGTCTTCAATCTAAATATTGGAAACAAAAATTGTCCTAAAGTACAGACCAAGGGCTATAGTATTAATTTCGGAGTTACACAGATAACTAATATTTACAGGTTTGGTTGGGTAAACTTTGATGTTAAAATACGAAGGATATTAAAGATTCCTAATGATTATACCAAATATCAGCAAATGTAAAGAAAATCATACCTGCAAGAAACAACTAAACAATTTGACTGACTTTAAAGTAAACAAAGACATCTAGAAACACAAAATACATCAGAGTCTTACCTGAGACGATGGTAATTTTAACATTGACGCGTCCAAAATCTGACTGCGCTGTCCTCCAAAGTAAGCAATACAAGGTGCACAAGTAAACTTCGAATGCTGAATATAGGAAAATTTCCCAAGTTTAAGGGCTCGCAAGCCATTAGTATAACATTTTCTTAACATTTCCTTTTTAGCTAACTAGTTGAATTCTTAAGCGAGAGATACCGATCCTCTACGGGTTAGTCTATAAAGTAACAAGTGAGGAGAATTCAGTTTAAGAAACGACGTCTATCGTTTGAAAGTGTTAATTCAAATGAAGACTACTCACAGAGAACTAACATATATTTCGAACCCTTTAAACAAACACAGTATTCGTAGTCTCCAGGCTTGATGTGACACTCGAATACAATATACATACAGTAATCAAAATTTAGGTTACTTTCAATTCACGTTTGGTTTTATTTATCCTAATGTTAGGCAGTTAGAGGCAATCACTTAAAAGTGGTGAACTCAGGTTTCGTGTAATTTGGTGCTTCTAGTTACGGGATATCTTAAATTTTGAAAAAAATATGATCCCCATGAGGATCATTCCTGTGTTGTCCGATCCCAAAAATAGAGATGTTATCACTGACCTATCCTGGTGGCGACTGATCTGTCTTTTCTTTCCACTAGGATAGGTCTTTACACTGACTAGTAACTACTTAGTAACTATTGTTATGTTTTGGTTTTTAGTGCTGGTCGGATTCGACAAATCAAGTAGCGTTGTGGCTACTAATTAATTCAACATATTTGAGAACCAGTCAGTCAGTCAGCTGCAACGTAGGACCAGGCACGTATATGTATCGGTCCAAGTTGCCATACCGCATTAGCACAACAAGATCAACACTGGATTCATAGTAGCTAATTCAGTGGTGGTAATATATAGAAGAAAGATTGCATATAAGGAGATAGTACAGGAAGAAAGAATTAGTTCCTAGAAAGAAAGATATGAAGCGATTTTAATCTCTTAGTTTAAAGGAAGATAGAGAGTGTATACATCGACGCCATTGTGATCGATTCTGAGCCATGTCACCTAGAGTCTCCAACCATTGGTTACGATAGTCACGCGGACCCCAACCAGGTAGTCTGCATCTACCAACATGGCTCGGACCAGAAGTTAGTGACTTCAAGCACTGATGCCACGTTTTGGTTTGGCCGCCTCTAACTTTCTTCCAATCATCCCTAACACCGGTTACCATTGCGCGCCGTGGTAATCGGTGTTCAGGCATACGCAGCACGTGGCCCAACCATCTCAGTCGATGAAGATTCATAACCTCATCAACTGATTTACTATCATCATTCCCTAATACCCTGCGTCTAACCTCACTATTACTTACCCGGTGATCCCAGCAGATACCCGCAATATTTCTAAGGCACCTGTAGTCAAATACTAGTAACTTACGAACATCTACTCTTAAAGGCTGTTTTGCAGCCGTATAGTAGAAACGAACGAAATGCCGAGCAGTATACTCGTCCCTTAATTGATAGACGGATATCTCGCCTTCGCCATAGATGACGTAAGTTGGCAAAAGCCAAACGAGCTTTTCGAATCCGTGCTGAGATTTCGTCAGACATCAACCCATTAGGGCTGATCAGACTTCGAAGATAATTGAAGTTGTCGACGCGTTCGACTACTTCACTCCCTATCCTTAGTTCAGGTGTTGACGCAGACCAGTCCTGAAGCAACAACTTGCATTTAGAGGGAGAGAAGCGCATCCCAAACGTTCTGGCATTGTTGCTCAGTGCTACCAAAAGACCAAGTTTAACTAGTGGTTTTAAAGGTTGGTAATATTAACGATCTGCATACTTATGCTACTGAGAAACCGACCAGAAAACCTATTTTCGTGACAAAGATGATATTTTGGTAGCTCAGCAACATAAATATACCGGACTGATGGATTACACCATAGACTATTATTATCCTTTGAGGAGACTTGACAAACGATTAGTTGGCTTACATAACATTCTCGTTTCAGATTTGATTTATGAATAACTGAAAACATACTAATCAACCATTTATCAGAAGCAAAATATGCACCTTGGATCTTGTTAATGGTCTTCCCATTTGATTAGCAAAACTACCAACACTTTAGAGAGTTAATTCGAAACGAACTGATCGGTAACACAGAGACATGCGAAATACTGATAGGGCTTTCTGGGTTTGCACTGACCAGACACTGTTTTAATGAAAACCTATGAGAAGTGATAATACACAGGTTACGACCTGAGAAAATTTTGACAGAAAATTTTGTACGTACGCCGGGCGTCATATGAAACATTACGACCAAGCATTCAGTTAATATATTAGAGATAATGACGATAATTTTAAGCTATGTATGCTGAATTGGCAACGAATCAACGAGTACCTAGAGAGATGAATCCATACTGTTCTACTTTAATTTTTATTCCAGTTCTTCTGGGATTAAAATAGTGACTGAGATTCCGAACATCTAAGAGTGAATGATATGGTTGAATGATTCCGTCCAATCTTTAAGCAGAGTGAGCAGGAATTTTGAGTTAACAAGATATGAACTGTAAAGTGTCTCTGATTCTGGTATTTTTCTTGAACTCGAAAAAGCTAAATTTTTTAAGGCAAGAATTGTTGGAAAAATTTACCAGCAGACTAACTAGAGCCGATGTTCCTAAAATGAGACAACTTATACGAAAAGTTAGAAATACTTTCAACTCTAAATAGGAAGGACAAAGCGGAATGGCTACAGGTATACTGGATGCAATGCCAAAGTGACTGTGAGACAACTAACCTACTTAATAAGGTCAAGATAGGGTTATAACTTGGTATGAAGATTTAGGATTAAGAATTTAGAAATACCGGCTAAACCAAGCTTTCATCGCGAATAAACATAAGCTATTCAGCTAAGATGAAATTTAATTACGTGGACGGATGAATTTTGCGCTAACCTACATTTCATTGGTTCGTCCATAGTGCCAACCAACAGACTTATGATCGTAATAGCAGAATGTAAAAGTACGTGATAAATTTAACAGACAGAGCTACAGAATTGTAAAGGAAACGCTAAAAGTACAGAGTTACTTGATATGAAGTGGTGGCATTCGCTAAAATGTATCTATACACTAATTGACGTTGTAAACAATTGCTATGATCCAGAATTTTTGATTAAGTTCAATCAAAAGTTTCATATGACGAAAAATTATTTTTTTTAAGAATATACACTTTACAGCATTTATAAAGCCAATAATCACGAGGAATATTACAAATAATAAGCATGTATGTAAAGGCACACCGACCTTGAAGATACAAACCTTCCACATTCAGTCCTCAGTGTCCAATACACAATATCGTGTGATCCAACTGCTTCACATGATTTCAAATGATATGGACGGAATAGAAGACGTTTTCACTCCACAGACCTTCTTATTTTGTAGTGATGCTTACAGGGAAGAACTCAAGTATAGTTAACGACTAAATAGAAAAAATATTGGTAAATCATAGTGAGATACTGCCCTTAGCCCTTAAGATTACATTGAAATTCTTCTTAAAGGGACTCTGAAAGGTCGCTTGGACTAGCTCAGGTGGCGGCGAATTCCAGTATTTGACTACTCGTAAAGAGTAAATGGTGTGTTTACATTCCGTCCTCTTATGTTGTATCTCTAATTTCTGGGTGTTATATCAAAGGTTTGTGTAGGGGCTTAGCATAAATAGGCGTTTAACAGAATACTCAGGAGTGTTTGGGATTTTATAAGTCATTGTAAGGTCTCTTTTGAGATGTTTATAATGTAATGAGTAAAAGTTCAGTGATTTGAAGCGCTCTTCATACTGTAGATCACCAGCGTGGATGATCTACGTCGAAATGATTGAAGGCTTACTCGAATTAGACGTGAGTGGTGTGACAAAATAGCTAACGTCGAAGTCACACTTCGCGGTCTGCACCTTACATAGATTACCCCATTGACGTATCAAGGTACCATAGATGCTTTGAAGACTGTACAACACAGAGGACGTTATTACAGAAATATATTAGTTAAAGTAGACACAAGCGAAGGTAAGACCACTGCCGCATGGGCCAGTCCATGGCGTACCATTAACTGATGCGCGTTGGTTGTCCTTGACGTTGACGAGGATTGATGATTTTGTTCGATATTCAATGGCTAGGGCTCAGTGGAATTTCACTGGCCCTACAATACTCCCCCCACCACCAGATTCAACGGCCGTTTGAATCGGTACCAAACATGTCGGTAGTCGCGCGCCGGAGATTGCCAAACGATTAGTAAGAATCCTCTGGGTATTGCCGAGCTGTAAAACAAATGGAAACGAGGCGGCAGAAACTGATCGAGAAACAGCAAGTAATAATATGTTAGTAGAACGTAAAGCCATTAATCGTAGAAATAATAAAAAGAACATAACGTCGCGCTGAAGTATATAGCTTTGACAAGTAATTGAGTTTCTCAGATGAGAAACATTAACTTTGCCGCAAGAGCAATGATGCTATAGCGATAGTAGGATAAGTGTATTATCAATCGATACGGATGTTTATACTGCCATTGATTTAAAGATGAATGTCAGACAGTGTCGTTGACAACTTCTAGCTATATCTATATTTAACAGACTAACCGTAAGTACAGAAGTATAGTCGTGAAGAGTAATCGTGATTTCGTCATGCGAGGCTATTAATCCACTTGTAGTCAGTTTTGAAAGTCGGTGACTGCTGTTACAGTCAGTAAGGGTCGAAGGCTACAAATCCAGAGCGAAGACGGCACTGTGAAGTCTCCAAAAGATGATAAACGATGCTTGTTGCTTGTTTGTTCGATTAGCGAATAGAAAAATATCGAAAAGACCATAAGAAACCAAAAGTGTTACTCTGGACTCATGTCAATGACACCAGTGAAAGACGCTGTCAGTGTTGGGATAGAGGCGACAATGTCGTTTTCAGTGTGCAGGAGATTCGCGCAGATGATAATGTCGTTAGATCACCAATTGAACTGGACAGGTTTTAAATCGTCGAATAGTTGAGCAGCCGATCGATGTACCGAAATCATCTTTTAGATAACAGGCACGAGGAAATACTTCATAATATAATGTACGATATCGAAGTAGAATAACTACAATAGTTCGGATGTATTATAAAGTCAAATTTAAATAACATCGTTCTTACGTATACTGATAGTTGCGCTGAACGTTCGTCTGGGTATTATTAGCGTAACAGTTGGACGTTTGGAGAAAAGTATGTACAAAAACTATGGTTGGGTTCGTGGAGAATTTTCGAGGACGTTTAGATATTTTACAAACCATTATTGCATACAAGTAAATCGAAAATGGAATTAAAATGACTGTCGTGTAATAAGGAGATCGAGCCATGATTTACCGTGGGAAATAATAGCAAATACAAGGAGTATAGTAAACATTAATTAAAATGGTAAACACCAATGTAACTAAAGTTAAGAGGGTTCAGGTAACGTGGCCATTTCGTACAAGGCTGATGCAAGGAGCTTGTTACCTAGCGTTAGGTGACATATTACGTACGACAAAGTGTCTATTCAGGACATGAAATAAGATTGTTCGTGTACATGCAATATGTTTTACCATAGTATGTCGATTAACGAGTCACAAATGTACATGATTTCGACTAACACTTAACGGAAGTGACAGAATATATGACTACTTAATATGAAAGCAACTACGAAATGTTATTGCGCATCATAAAGATAGTACGAAATAATCTAATGATTTTATGAAACTCGCATGGGTTACTCTTGCTTCCAAGTAATGAAGATACGAAGTGGATAGTAGTTGAAATCTGGATTATATACGAGGTACTGTTGATTAGATTCTTCGATTAACACAGCGTTGTAGACTGAATTAGTACAAGTCCAGAATAAATTCAAGCCAAATACGTAGTATTGCCTGACGAACAGTCTAACCGAGATCTAAGATTGCAGAACATTTATAGTTTGAACTCACCGTAAATTTCTAGCATTTGTATCCTCTGTTTGGCCATGGAACTCGCCAATTGGAAATTAGGCAGGCGGTGGTCAAAAATAGAAATATTCTAGTGGGTAGAGGTTAAGCAGGAAGACGAATTTAAAGTCGACAGTTAATCTTTTCTCGCCTAAACTATTGGATAAGTTACAAACCGATGTGCGTTCGTGTTGCCTTGTGGTTATACCTACGAGTGGTTGATATTTTAACAGACATATTACACAGGAGCATTTACATGCTGCTTATGCTTGTTAAAGAACCACGATAGCCGATTAAAGCCGAAGTTGACTAGTTAGTTCTACCTACTGAACTAGTTATTTCAGTTTAAATACTAATCGACATTGACATGAAGCAACGAAAGTTCACAGTAACAGATTAACATAGGCGATGATAAAAATGAAAAAGAATAAGTATAGATTGCAATGATAAAGACTATAATGATAGGTTGCGTTATTCGCAGTCTTGCTCACCAGTGTAGATCACCAGCGTGGATGATCTACGTCGAAATGATTGAAGGCTTACTCGAATTAGACGTGAGTGGTGTGACAAAATAGCTAACGTCGAAGTCACACTTCGCGGTCTGCACCTTACATAGATTACCCCATTGACGTATCAAGGTACCATAGATGCTTTGAAGACTGTACAACACAGAGGACGTTATTACAGAAATATATTAGTTAAAGTAGACACAAGCGAAGGTAAGACCACTGCCGCATGGGCCAGTCCATGGCGTACCATTAACTGATGCGCGTTGGTTGTCCTTGACGTTGACGAGGATTGATGATTTTGTTCGATATTCAATGGCTAGGGCTCAGTGGAATTTCTATGACCCTACAATACATCTTGAATTTGCGTCCACGAACTGATTTTGTGGCTCGCCTTTGGATATGTTACAATGTTTTGTTATCCGTTTGGAGTGGTGGAGGAGACATCATACCTCCATAGCCTATGTGGGGCTGAATGAAACTTTTAGAGATTAAGTGTAAATTTCTACCGTCAAACTGGCCAAAATGCGCCTCGACGTTACCAGTGCAAGATTTGCTCGAATCGTATTTTTGTCCACGGTTAGCTTACACTTTATGTTATAGGGTGCTAACACTCTTATTTCTTTTTCAACTTAGATACCTGTATAGCTTTAGTTCTATTTATAGTCTGTCGTATGCCTTATATGGACTAATTTACATATTGAGGTGGTAAAGGTAAGTTCGCTGTTATTCGCCCAACTTTGAAGTCGAGTCAGATTTTCCAGAAATGCCATCTTATCATCCCGATTTCAAACGGCTTTCCAAAATCTTATATTGACAGCGAAAAGTAATAAATTAGATGATACTTGCTGAGAACGGTCACTTGTGTAAATTAAGAAAGAGGTCCGAGTACTAAAGCCTGAGGGACCACAATAGAACATCTCATAACCTGAGAAAAATGAAGTTTACCCTGACTTTGACATATCGATTATTCAGATACGACGTTAAGCAATCAATTAACGATTACTTCATACCTAGCTGTTTGAGCTTATTGATGAGAAATATATGATTGATATCATTATGGGGATATGTGGACGTTGCAGTATTTTCACAGTTGTATTCACGAAACTGCCGTTTGGTGCTTCCAGGTTTTAATTGTGGTTTAGATTATGTCAACTCGTGAATTCAATTGTGAAAATATATGATTGACTTCATCACAAGCCTTTGCGAAGTCGAGGTATATGACATCAATCTTTCCCTAGTGATCAAGGATGTTTGTTAATCTGTCTAACACGGTCAGCGAGTTGGTTATACAAGAGTGACTTTTTCTGAAACCAAGCTGATGCGGTGAAGAAGAATTTATGAGTAGTAAGTAGGCGTGTAGACCGTCGCATTTCAGGGTTTCCATAGTTTAGGAGGTTATTGTGATATGTGCTCCTGGCCTGTAGCATGAAGGTTAGCTACGATGACTTTCTTTGAAATATGGTCTAATGTGTGCCAACTTCCAATTTTCCGATACAGTGTTTCAGTCTGGTGAACACAGGAACACCATACTAGGCTATTATTCCAATAGTGAAGCTTCTTCCCTCACTATTACAGAATGAACCATGTATGGGCCAAGAGAATTGTCCGTGTTTGGATGCTACGGTTTCTGATAAACCGAGTCAGGTTCACTTCGGATGATCCTGTTGAGTTGCAGATGAAATTCTCATAGATGTAGTTGGTAAGGCACGGTTGAACTGCATGAAAGTACCGTTCTTCCGATAGGTCGGCAGCGTCAGCGTCGTTGTTGGTTGGGCCATTTGAGAATCTCTTCTTTTGGCACGCTGAGGGGAAGCTACATGACAGAA